CAAGGGTAACGACCTCATTTAATCCGTGCTCTTCGTCGCCTAGGCGGAGACGCAGTGTACAGCGTTGACCACGCGACACTCGCGACTCCTGGTAGTTCGGCCAAAGAGGCATGGGAGGATTGGTGGCCTTGACAAGCAAGTGGTCAGTGGTATTCATGAACATCAACCTACAGGCACCTATAGGCAATATAATATACAGTCAACTGTGAAAGTCGTCTCTCATCTCCAGTGTTTGCTGAATTTATGGTAGAAAGACTTGCAGGACGTTGTCTTTTTGCAGCGTTGCCTTGCGTTTCTTGAATGAATCACATCCAAAAGTCCTGGATGGGTTTGGTGTCATCTACGAAACCACGAGGTCCTGGGAGCTGAGCAGATATTTCTAGCAGTGCTGAGCAGATTTTCAAGATTGGGATGTATATGGATGTATATTCGTTCTCAACGAGTCACATCAAGGTTGATGCAGTATGCCCATGCCAAGCACCTTTTGATACTCTTGGACCTTGGAGCTCCTCTAACGGTTACTTCTAAGTAAACACGCAAATTTGTAGGATTTCTTGGTTGGACAATCAGACTCACAGACCATGCTATCCAAGTTTCACAGCTTTCGTTCATGGCCCGACCGTGATTTTACGTGAGCACCCCTCAAGGCAATTACCGTGGCGATCTCGTTTGGCCCAAGACGGTAAAAGCAACACGCTCCTCGCGAAACGCAGACCGCGCCTTTTCTACCCTCACCAACTGCCATGGCTGTGCGACCAGAGTCGGTTGAGGAGTGGTGTTTGTTGATGCCCAACTTGCCCCTTGGAGAGAGGGTCACAGTGAGGATCATTTCAATGTCAACACTTCCACTTTATATATACTATATATGCATATATTCTAGTGCGTTAACAAACGTCCTGTGCTTGAGAATTGGATCGCTGCCATCCCAAATGACAAGGCCCTAAGAAGCTGCGGGCCAATGGCGATTGGTTTGGGGTTCAACGTTGGACCTTTGTCAAATTGTTTGTTCCTTCTTTTGCCCAGGCTTGAGACCAATGGCTGGACCGTGGCTTTGACCACTGCTGAAGCGGCCTTGATGCACAGCAGCTGTGCCTGGGGCGGCCGCTTGGATCGTTTCGAAGCCTCAGCTGGGCGGGTTGGGGCAGGGAACCAGCGGGGACTCGTCACACCGAGGACATCTCCTGAAGTTCGAGCTGAAAGATCTGGCGATCCAAAACGCCCCTGAAGATCCGGCCCAGATCCTCGTGAGGCGATTCCAGGGCCACGTGGGGGGCAGGGCGATCGGCTGGCGAAGCGAAGCGAAGCTGGTCCAGAGTCCAACATGTCCAACATGCCAGGCGGCTCGCATTTTTAAAGATGAAAGACATTAGGAGAGATGAACTACATAGAACTTCCATTTCCAGGAATGGGTTGGACACCGATCTACTTGGGGTCCTCTATTGCTCTCCATTCGACCCCTAGTGAGTCGACAACAGGCCTGAGGTGCGAGCCTTGCATCAAGACAATTGTCCCATCAGCGGCTGCTAGGATGCAACGAGAGCGTCAGTGGACGAGCACAGACCTATCGTGTGGAAGATGTGTTTCTTTGTGTGTTGTTGCTTTTACTTGGGAAGCATGTTGGGAGCTTACACATCCCGCCAGCACCCAGGTGGTATGGTAGAAGTGCAGCTTCATAAGTAACAATGTTCCCTTTCTTCCTATCACCCCTGAAGCTGAGCATATAGGAAGTGCTCATTTGCAGTCTGGGTCATCGTTGCATGGCCTTGGCCAGAGCCACTAGGAAGTGAACAAGGAACATCCACATCATCCATGAACCATCTCCCTGAGAATCCACGCGTGGAATATTATGCCAACGCCTAAATATTTATATACAGTGGTTTTTTAGGAGTCCTGTAGGTAAATCTTCCACACAGCAGCGATGGGCCCTCTTTCGTCGTCAGTGCTGAGGTGTGGAAGTGGGCTCCTCGGTGGGTTTCGTCGCTCCCGGAGAAGCCATTGTCGAGGCGAGCATTGCTCAGGAGGCCACCATGAAGCTGTGCTCCGTGCTCTTTGGAGACAGCCGGCTGAAGGTCATGAACAGATTGAACCCCCCAGGTAGCGGAGTTCGGGACACACTCTGTTTTCTTCAGATGGGGGCATATTGAAACACACTCCCAGGCTCCCAGGGCTCTTGGAGATTCTTGGCGTTTGTTAATAATTCATATGATTCATAATGATTCATCTTCAATTCCTTCAGCACTGGTCGCGAACGAAGCAAATCTGTTCAAGTTGCCGTGAACGACCCAAGCGGCTGGGGAATCTGTTGTGGCCAAAGGTGTCCAGCCCAATTCAGGAACTTCAGGTTGGCAAAGTTCCCCTTCACTGTTGCTTTTTCCAGCGGTTCCAATTTCTGAGCAGCTTTCACGGGCAAAGCAGGATGTCGTGGACCGGTGCGGAGGAGTCGAAGGCAACACGAACTCATGGAGAAACTCGCTCGTTGAACGCTCTGAATGTTTGACCATCCACTGTATCAGCTGAGGATATGGCAGGACAGGTCATGGACTATCTCTTCCGTGACTCGGTTTGTGAGCGCGAGAAAAAAGCAGGAGCCTTGGCCGCCTTGGCCTGCGCCATCAGACCAATGTTGATTCTGGTTTGGTAAAAATCATAAGCAGAAGGAAGACGCAAAGGAATTCAACAACAGGGGAACACGCAGTTTTCTTCTGCAAACCCAGTGGTTTTCAAGGTGCATGGGATCGTCTTCAGTGGGGTCATACATACCTTGCAATGAATCAAACACAGGTGAGTAGAGAAGTTCAACTCACAAGTTCGGCTTAAACGGTGTGGATTTGAGTTTTGCCCCATACTGATGCATATGTGAAACTGATACTGACTTGATATTTGACTGACGTGAACAGCTGCATCATGAAGTGTATTGTTCCAACTGCATTTGGATCCCCCAGAACAGGCCCGGCAGTGATTCTGGGTGTTGCTTTTCAGGTGATTCTGCGCCGGTGCCGTGGCATCAGAAGATCCGCAGAAATTATCCCCGAACGGGCGATAGCGCGTGCGCCTTCTGGAAAGAAGACGAGGGCGATGAGAGGCAGTGCCAAACCACACGGAAAGGGACGTGTCGAATATATAGACGGCCTAAACTGTTTGCTGAGAACACACTGAAAAACAAGAAGGTCTTGGCAGAATTAGGAGGCCGTTTCCAGAGATACTGGTGGCTGAGGGAAGGCGTATCATTCTATGTCCTGTTTTTTCAACAGGCTCGGTGCCAAGTCGTGTAGCTGGTATGTAATTGTTGTTTCACCATTACTTGGTTAAGTTGAAAGTTACTTTGTCATCAGGTGGTTGGGAGATGTTGGGATCTCATTCTGTAGAGCCAATGCTTCGTATGCTTGCCATGGGGTGGGGGCAAGGTGAATCTTCCAGAAGTGGAAGATTATTCAGTGAGACCGAGTGAGACTGATCGACCACTTGACATGTGCACCACCACTTAGCGCCAGTGAATTATATAACAATATACAAACATTTGTATCTGGAGCATCTCGTCTAACAACCCACAGCCAGCTGGGCCAGGCAGCACGAGTGCCTCATCCTCACCCGCCCCAACAGCCACGGGGACCGTGGCCTGTGCTCGGCCTATGTGGTTGTCCGCCTGTGCGAGGACCGCTTCGCGAACTGGGCCAGGGAGCCTTGGCCGCCTGGAAAGCGACGTGTAGGGGATGGTTGGGGGAACTGCACCAGTTATGGGCCTACGGAGGAGACCCAAAGCTACAATTTTGTTAGATTTTGTTAGTTAGAAGATCTGACAAGCGTCAACGACCCAGAGCCAACAAGACCCTTAGTCATCCTTTGTCATCCCCACCGTGACAGCCTCTTGCCGGCACTTGGTTTCACTGTGAGGAACACTTCAGCCTGGTCCTGAGCTCGGCACGACGAACAGCCTTGTCTTACCTGAACCGCCCCGGGGTGGTGCAGCTACGGGAGCAAGACCGACGTCGCTGGGCGGAAGAGTTGGTCGCCCCAAGATGTTTGTTCGGTTTCTATTTTTTGGTGGGTGAAATCGGTGAAATGCCCCGGGGGGCGGGGCACCATACAAGCACCCGGCAGCATGACCATGCTTAACGCGACTCATCATGACTTGCGACTCAGACTTCTCATTTCAATGGCATGTTAATTCCCAGGACTTGGGAAGACCTGTGGGCTTCCTGAATCCGCAATAGGATCATTCCTGTGAGGCTTCTACGTGATCATCTCCCTCCAAAGCTTCAAGCGTGGAATGCCTCTCCTGCCAGCCTACAAGACTGAGCCTTCTTTGACCGAGATCGACGCGGGCACGCCTTACGGGCTTCGGAGGTGGTTGAGGCGGTTGGGTGCGACAAGGCTATGACTATGAGACATAATTATGAAAATGATTTTGTATAATTACTGTAATTGTTTTTTCATGGTGTGGTGGGCTAGCTAGCTCGTGCCTGAAGTCCAATCAATGGAAGAAGTCCGGGCAGGTATGAGCTCAGCTCCTCGAAGTTTCATTTGGCAGACTATTTGAAGGTTTTCCTTCGACGCCTGGGAGTGGAGATCGAGGCATATGTGTCTCAGATGCAGAATCAGGCAAAATGTGTGGTCAGCGGGAGGCACCACCCTTGTTTTAATGTGCTTTTGTTTGTTTGTTTTTTAAATGTGCAACATGGTTTGTATTTGTTGCCAATGGAACTTGTGAAAGAAGAGCCCATTTTCTTGATGGGCTTTTAATAATGCTCACAAACACTGTGTACTTGAAACAATTTTTGCACCGATTCTTGGTCAGGAGACCTTGGATGGCCAGACCTTGGTTCCCTACCAATGCGCCGTACGTCGCGATTGCTGGGAGCCAGTGCGAGACCTGTGCCTTCAGGCCCTGGTTTGGGAGGTAGCCCGAAGTGTAGTCATGATAGTCGTGCACTCTAGTTGTTTAAGGGCACCATACTCAGCTTTTGTTCTCCCACCGGAATTTGGCAGCAGTCGTGTTTTGTGTTTTGGTAAGTCACAGGTGCACAAGAAACAGGTGCACATGAAACAGCAGAACCATGTCCAGCTCACTTCGCTGCCAAGTGTCATATCCACAATCCGCTAATGCAGCTGCATCATAACATTGCAGAAACAATTCCACAAGACCGAGGAGGAAATCTATTGATATTAAGTCACTCAACCCCAGACAAACACAATTCTGCCAAGGCAACCTGGGACCTACAGAGAAGAACATTCTGCAAAAAACTACCGTAACTATATCGTACTATAATGTGCCATAATTAGATGGTATAATGTCAGTCTCAACAATAGCTGCAACCTTTGTTTTGGACTCCCTGCATTTGCATACAAATCCACCAAACCACCTTGCCCAGTGCCACTTGGCTCCCACCTTTCGCGCGACTTGGCCCGAGGCCTATGCGCTGCAGAAGACCGCCTACCGCCGCGCCAACGGCGGCTCCGGCGCGCCGGGAATGCACGACGAAGTGGCGGCGAAGTTCGTGAGCCAGGCGTCTTCCACGGTGGCTGGGGGAGGCCTACGGCGGCACTGAGAAGGTTGGTTTGGATTCTATCCACTTCGACATTGCACCATGCGGTCCTGCAAGCCTAGATACACCATGATACACCCAAGATTCCCCAACGTGAAGGAAAAAACACAAGCAAGGCTCTTGAACGCACACTCCACCCTACTGATCAGACGATGGATACCCTTTCTCACATGTCCTTACATGTGCCTTTTGATTGCTGAGTGCCCATATAGTGGCCATTTGTAACGTTTCTAAAGGGATGGCGAGCACGCGTAATCATTCTAAAATAGATTCCAACCACCAGAGGAGAAGATTGGACGTCGCTTCATTCATCTTCATTCTACTTTGTGAACCAATTTGGTCCCATGGTGTGTACCGCATTGTACCACTATACCTCACTCATGACTCATCCCCCCTGAGCCCAAAGAATCTTTAGAACATGTCATCTACAAACATGAAGGAGAAGAGACCATTTTGTATATTTGTGTGTCCTCTCATGTCTTTCTCATCACTCATGTGACTCATGAGCCAGGACCACTCCAACCTCAAGGATCGTTTGATGAAGGCGGTTGAGCCGCGCCTCGTGGTGCGCAAGACCTTCTTCGACGTGGAGATGCCAGATTCCGAGGACGAGCACTGTCGCCGTGCGGCCAGGAGGCCCAAGACCATCGCGCTGGCACGCAGCACAGTGATGGTGATGTGAGCGTTTTGGTATACCAAGAGGGGGTTCGGAAGGAATGGACAAGGCGGCAAGTGGGAAGTTGGTGGAGCAGGATGAAGCACAAATTCTTGTTTCGTCGTGCTTCAGCGATTTCCCATGGCTGAATTTAGAGGTGCGAAGAAGTTTTCCATGGCTGCAAGGTGTTATTCTTTCGGCCTGTCGTAGTGGCGGCTGACTTGTAAAGTTGTATAGACGCTGCCGCCCAAATCCTGTGACATGCTACGTCCATGCTCGGGTGCTATTTAATTTGACCTCTTGTGCCGTATATTGCGCATCAACGAGGTTGTGCAAGAATTCGATGCATTCCTGCTGCCTTTCTTCTGCGACCGCGGAAGGGAGTCAGCACCCCGCCTGCCGCTGTAAAGACAGCAGGCCTCACTGGAGTAGGATTGTGATCAGTTCCTTGTGCTGTATCAATGTGCAAGGGTAACGACCTCATTTAATCCGTGCTCTTCGTCGCCTAGGCGGAGACGCAGTGTACAGCGTTGACCACGCGACACTCGCGACTCCTGGTAGTTCGGCCAAAGAGGCATGGGAGGATTGGTGGCCTTGACAAGCAAGTGGTCA